AATAGTCCAGACGGGAGTTAATGAAACAGTGAATGAGCTTCTCTGCAACAGAGTCTGAAAGTGATGGCCGGAGTCTGGATATGTTTCTGAGGTGGAAGAAGGCTGATTTTGTTACTGACTTGATGTGGTTCTGAAATGAAAGGGTTGAATCCAATACAACGCCAAGGTTGCGGACCTGAGGGGATGGGGAGATGATGGATCCGTCGATGTTAAGGAGCAGATCTCCAACCTTCCTGAGCAGTGCTTTGGGGGCCACAACCATGAGCTCAGTTTTATCACTGTTTAGTTTGAGTAGGTTGGTGGTTTTCCAGGTTTTCATTTTGTGTAGGCAGTTGATTAGTGACTGAGGGGGGAGATGGGCAGCTTAAGAATAAAAAATGACATATTGACGTTCAAATAAATAGGTTATTCTGTAACGTCTGTGTAATTTAGAGAATCTCTGTAATCTAGAACTTTGAAAAGCCAACATGAACCATACAAAAGTATTAACTGTATTATTTAGGTCCACATTCATCTGATAGCAAATGAATGTCACAGCAGAAACAGTCAAACAACAAAGCAGTTGTAGTTATTCTATTTGCCAAACTAACACAAATTCAGCTTCTACTGTTCAGTGTCCTTTCAGTGCGGTCCGGGCAGGACTAGAAGCATGCAGGAGAATGGCAGGAGACTGAGTGGAATGGCAGTGAGGAACAGTAGCTCTACAGTCTAACATGCACTCAGTGCGTCAGTGGTTCTACGGCCCAGCAGAAGAGGAGAAAGTGTTCTCTGCAGCCTCAGTGAAGTACTCTGTAACTGCAGTACACTAAAACACTGCAACTCAACATCTGCAGCATGGTAGCAATATGATGAATTGCAAAAGTTCTGCTGACACAGCAAATATTAATTACTTTAATTTGGGTGCATTTTTTCTTCAAGTGGAGCCAAAAGGAGGCTTTGAGAAAGAGACCGAGTGAGGATGCAGAGAAGATGCTCTCACCCAGTGCTGGACAACTACTCGGAAATGCTCGGAAACCATGCCCCCCACCCACCTTTAGTCACTACCATCAAACCATCATCAAACTCTGTTTCAATGATGCGATGAGACCCTGCGCACATACACAACACACACACACACACACACACACACACACACACACACACAGACACACACACACACACACACATATTAGATAATGTAAGGTTCTGAGAGACATAAAAGAGGAAGCTCAGTAAAGTAAAGGTTAGCAAGATCACACTCACACACACTACAGGTTCACAAAACAGGGATTAAATCATACATATATATTAATACAGACAAAGCATGTTAAATACATAACCAGACATACTCTGTAGTTTCTTGCTGGGGCTGTCTCCGTGGACGTGTCTGCGCGGGAGGTACGGGGAAGGCTGGGGCAGAGGTATCGAGGACATGTCATGTGATTGGAGTTTGTACCAATGAGGGATATCGTCTAGCAGAGCTGTCTCCAACTCTATCAGGATCTGAGGACAGAGAGGCACAAATGAAAAACAAAACGCCATGAGAGCACACTTAGTCCTGTCTCATTCTCACACACAATCACTCACACACACACAAGGTTTAAGGAGGTTTAATATGTACGAGTGTGTATGAGTTTGGGAATGAGGGAGTGAGAGAAAAATAGAGAGAGAAAGAAAGAAAGATATAAGGCGAAAACTGCGACTTGCTGTAAACCAAATCTACTGTATATTGTTGTCTCTGTACACAAACACTGTACATCCAGACACACACAAACACACACATTTCTCAGCTGATACCACTCTTCCACATCCATACCAACACACCTACATCATATTAGTTTCATACATGTATTCCAATGGTTGTCAGGGCCCCATTATACAACAGGCAAAGAAAACAAGAAATGACAAGTATGTAATTCAATGGTAAAATGTCACATCTGGTGATATAGAATAAAAAGGACAAATTGAACTATTTTCCTCCAATATAAAACCCTGACATTACAAAATAAATGATTTTATACCGGTATGGCGGAGAGATCAAAAGATGTGGTTATAATGGGAGTGGATGCACTGAAAAAAGGGGAAAGTGGGGTTGTTCAATTTGCAAATATGCATTTAATATATGAAACATAATTTATTCATGTTTGTCGTCGAAACATGAATCNGGATCCGTGATTTTCATGGATGATTCCTGCGGTCCTGTGTCATGGGATCGCGACGTCCTTGATTTCTTTTGAGTCGTTGGCCTGTGGTCCTTGGCATCATTAAGTCCTGGATGGATATCTCGTGGCATTCATCTTTCCTTATCGTATACAACACATGCATTTCCAACATTTGGACATACCTATGTTGCAAATGATTATCTTTTCAATTCACACACGGCATCTATGCACGTCTGTCCGTTTCCTTTTGGGAGAAGGGATCTTCCTCTGTTGCTCTCCCCTGAGGTTTTTCTTTCCCATTTTCCCTTTAAACTTGTGGTTTTCTCTGGAAGTTTTTTCCTTGTACGACTATGGAGGTCTACAGGGACCAGAGGGTTGTCGTATTTTTGTTCATACTGATATTCTGTACAAAACTGTGAAGTCCACTGAGACAAATGTAACATTTGTTGATATTGGGCTTTATATAAATAATATTGATTGATTGATATGTTAAACACCATAAGGACAATCCCAGGTCAACCATGGGTTCACGAGGTTTGACTGTAAAATATTTTCTGAAGAAAGAAATCTGGTTGTCCGGACCTCAGTTTCTACTTCGACCTCAAGAAGAGTGGCCCCAAAACCCTGATGGATTGAAAGTAATCTCACTAAAGGACTCTGAAGTCAGGAGCATTATTTTTAACACTACTCAGATCATGTCCGAGGAAATGGATCCCGTCAACCAATTAATCCACCACTTTTCCTCTTGGAATGGTTTAAAAAGGGCAGTAGCATGGATGCTCAGTCTTAAAAGACTGCGTTTGTATCGCAGCAGAAAGAGAAACCAAGCAAGTGTTGTTCCTCCTCAACTAATTCCAGATAACATACATCAAAGAGGCCTATCACAAAAGGAGAGAGGGAATTTCGACAGGCAAGAAAACAATGGTCTCACAGTTGAAGAACTGGCAAATGCTGAAATAGAGGTAATCTGTTTTTGCCAAAGAAAGAGGTACGCCGATGAAATCTCAAATCTGAGAAAAGGAATAAACGTCAAGAAAACCAGCCACCTTCATAAACTCAACCCCATTCTGGAAAATAATGTGTGACGGGTTGGTGGACGACTTAGCCGGGCAGCAATGCCGGAGGATATGAAACATCCTGTCCTAGTGGCTAAAGGCTTTCACATTGCTGGTCTTATTCTGCAAAATGTTCATGAACAAGTGGGTCATGGTGGTCGCAACCATATGTTATCCCGACTACGCCAACAACTACCCGGCTACTCCTGGACAACAACAGATCCATTCACATATGTTGGAGTTGATTATTTCGGACCCTTTGGAGTGAAGCGTGGAAGGAGCATTGTGAAACGTCTTTTCACATGCTTAGCAATAAGAGCAATTCACCTTGAAATGGCATCATCTCTTGACACTGATTCGATCATCAATGCGCCACGGCGCTTTATAGCTAGACGTGGTCAAGTCAGAGAACTCAAATCTGACAATGGCATTAATTTTGTAGGATCCGAACGCGAGTTGAAGAAGGCAATTGAAAGTTGGAATCAAGATCAGATCCACAATACACTTCTCCAGAAAGGAATTAATTGGATCTTCCATCCCCCAGCTGGCTCACATCATGGAGGTGTCTGGGAAAGATTAATCAGATCAGCACGAAAGGTTCTCAAACTCCACTCTGAATGTACAAAGTCTCGACGAAGAGGGACTTAACACAGTCTTATGTGAAGCAGAAGCTATTCTCAATAGCCGTCCAATCACCAAAGCTTCTACAGATCTAAACGACCTCGAAGCACTGACACCTTTTGCTCCTTAAGACAACACCATCCCTGCCACCAGGACAGTTTCAAAAGGAAGACATTTACGCTCGCCGCAGGTGGAGACAAGTTCAGTATATGCCAGACTTATTCTGGAAAAGGTGGATTAAAGAATATCTTCCCCTACTTCAAGAACGACAGAAATGGTCTAAAATCAGACGCAACTTCACACCAGGAGACATCGTGATCATCATGGATGACTCAGTCGGAACTCCTGGCTTACTGGAAAAGTTGCTGAGACCATCGCTGACAAAAAGGGACTCGTACGTACGCTTCGGATCAAGACCAAGACTGGTTTCCTGAGCAGACCAATTAAAAAAGTTAGCCTTCTTCAGGAGTCAGAGGACTTTTGCCAAGTCTAAATGGACTATTTTTGCCTATTTTATTTTTTGTCTCCTACCCCCTGCACACACACAAGCCACACTAAGCATTTTACTGATACTGATTAGTGAGTAGGCTAAAGATTATCACTTTTCCAAAAAGACTGCAATATATGAACTCCGAACAAAAATAATTCAAGAAAGAGATCTGGACGTATATTTTGTGTGTATTGTCATTTATTATAGTAATTATAATTTTGTGAAATGATAATTAGGGGCCGGTATTGTAGGTGCCATAACGCTACTTAGCCCAAGTTCATTATTTGTATTATTATTATTTGTTTACGTCACTTTTATTTGTTTGTTGAGCACTTCCGGGAATTGTCACATGGGTGTGGTTTGGTTAAGTCACTTGTTTGATGTCGAGGATGACGAGCTTGTGCTGTCATTTTTTCTGTTGACCGTTTTGTCCATAGTTACTGTGTTTTGATTTTGTTTATTAAATATCCTAAAACTATCTTGCTTCAGTATGGACTTTCTCTTCGAAAACGCGTCACAGTTTATAGCCTCTCGGCGATTCAAACTGAACTGGAAATTGAGCCACCACAGCTACTGAAAGAAGGCAGTTAGCCTAGCTTAGCATAAAAGCCAGATGCAGGCCGGTTGGAAAACAGCCAGCATTACTGTCAATATTAAAAAAAAACGTATACCTTATATCATCTTCAAATAATTAGTGAGTCTAGGTTAAGCTTAAACCATTTACCAGACCCAGGCCAGCTGTTTTAATCTGCTTCCAGCCTCCATGCTAATTAAAGCTAAGCTAACCTATCCTGGTTGTAGCAACAATGATATGGACAAACATCTCAATTTTGGCAATTAAGGAAATAAGCAAATCTAGAAAATGAATACAAATGTCTTTTATAATAATTTATATAATTTTTCATAATCTTATTTTTATATAATAACTCATAGTAAACCACATAATAATCCCATGGTTATTCTAGAAATCACTTCAACAGTTGGTTAACAATGTTTAGAAATGTAATTAAGATTTTAATAAAGTTAAGTTGGAATGAATCCATGCTAATTCATGTTATATGTAACATGAATATTCTCTGAGCATTACAATTGGTCACAGTATCAGCTTCTTAAAACAACTGAAACACTATCGCAGTTGCTTTGCCTGTTTTATGTTTCACTCCCGCCTCTGCATACTAAATACATTATCGAACCTCCTCAGGAGAAATAAAACACAGCGTAAAATGCTGGCAGTGTTTTCTCCTTAAGCGGTGAACAAACCCAGCAGATCGTAAAAATGATGCAAGGATGCTCACGGTGAGCAGAATTCCCAGTAAGTGTTTACACACTGTGCTTACATCCAGAGTTAACCGACTACTTGCCACAGCCCAAGCTATTTACATGCACCTTGATAACTTGTGATAGAGTATCCTAGGATACCATGAATAAACCAATTACACAGTGGTCTTCAATCCTGGTCCTGGTTTTCTTTACTACCTTCTGCTTAATTGCCTTCACTTGCTGTCCCCTGGTGTGAATCAGTCCCTGATTAAACTGCTAAAAAGATTCAGAGCTTTGGATTTTTTGGACGGAGAGCGGCTGAACTCAGGTGTCCCATCCCAAACCGAACATGGGCCAATAGCTGCCGGATCCTCTTTACTTCACTGAGGTTTCTTCCAATAGTAGTCAAAGAAACGATTCATGCAGTAGTAGATATTTACTAAAGAGCACACTAAGCATTTACTGTGTACTTAAATTTAAAGAGCACAGCTGGCCCTATTTCAGTCACTTCTTTACTGGGACCTCGTGTTCAAATCAAGTGAAATGCAGAGTAGCAGAAGTGCTAATATAAATCTACAGCGTGATTGGACCACAGCATGAGCCAGGGTGTGTGAGCTCCGCAGAGGGAGGAGACCTCGCTGGAAAATATGAGTACTGGTGTTCTCTCGCTCCAAGATACTGTTTAATCCTGCCTGCATTGATTACACATTTCTTCAGATTATATGAGTGGAATTGACTGCTGGAGAGTGTTTGTTCAGTCTGTATTTCAGCCATAAATAGCCTTCCAATGTATTCCAAATAACACGCACCATTCGGGGCATGAGTGTGTGGCATATTAAACTGATCAAATTGACCAGGAAAATTGGTTTCCCTCTGTGTAGTTGAGTCTTTGGTATATCCGCGCCTGCGCTGTGTGTTCATTAAGATCAGATAGCGTTGCCTCAAATCGCTGCAGCTCCCTCACAATAAGTGCTGATTGTCTCTGTTAGCTATTCTAGCTAGCAAGAAATTAACAGTGTCTTATTTTCAACAACGGTCTGTTAATTAAATAATAGTTTTATAGGGCTTTGTTCAACGGAGCAACCACAACACATCTTAAAACTGCAAATGTAAGTAGCCTACATTAGCACTTGATTTGAGACAGCCCTGCTTTTTCTTTTCCCATTGAGAGCACACACATACCTTTACCTGAATTTGCGCTGCTTCAAATACATCTTTATTTGTTTCTGTCTGTGTTTCTACTTTCTAAGCACTCATGCAAATTAGAAATGTTAGTAGGCCTACACATGCAATCACCACACCAAGCCTTTAACTGCTTCAAGTGTTTGAATTTGAGAAGTCTGTGAAATGTTCTCTCATGTGTGTGATGTACAGTAGTTGGCAGTTGGTGCAACTCTTAACCCTGCCAAGTGTTTTATTTGGATATATAAATAAAAATGCAACATTAAAATCTCAAACATTTATCCTCTTATGCTCGGGTCTGTGAGGTGACATGAAGTGTGATCAATTACGCTTGTGAAGTAAGTTAAGTAAAGAACTGTAGCTGGCAGGCTGTGTATTTGAACAAGTTTAGGCTGAATTTGTAAGTACAGAGTTACTTTGCCAATTCAATTCACAGTCTGCACTCACTGCCCCTTATGTTGCAACATGCTGAATAGCATTCGACTACAACGAGCTGCAGAGTAGGACGTATTTCTAATCTAAAACATTCAAGTTCTTCTTAAAAACAATAGTCACACAATATAGGTATAACTCACTGTGATCTGCAATAAAGTGAGCCAACCCTAGCACATTTACACCGTAAGCATGGGCATCAAAAGGCCACCCAAAGCTCATACAAAGCTAATATGTATATTATGTATTTATATATATGTGTTGGCCTTAATCAAGTGGGTATCTTATAGGGATGCCAGCGATTATTCGATTTTTCGAATATTCGTTACAGTCTCCATAATCGAAAATTATTTTTAAAATGTTATTTATATATTTTTGTATTATTATTTATGTTTTTCTTTTTTTTCCTGGCTTAGTTTCAACCAAAATATAGACTAATGCTAATAATAGTAATAGTATTAATAAATAACACCACCAGTTTGTTTTACTGTAAACTTGAGGAAGCCAGCAGCGGCGAATAATCGATTAATATTCGCCAGGGCTGTCCGATTTTCGAATTTGTTCATGGTCAGTTTCTGGCATCCCTAGTATCTTAGGGTATCAATTTCACCAAGTTCTAAAGTGTTTTTATTACATTTGTTAACATGGCTGTCTCCACTCCACAAAATATTCATGTTGACTGTATCTAAGTGGATAGAGTGCTGGACTTCGAATCAGGGGGTAGCAAGTTCAAATCCCACTGCAGTCAGCATGTCGTTGTGTACCTGGGCAAGACACTTCACCCAAATTGCTCCTGTGGGGAATGGCCACAGTATTGAATCGCTTTGGATAAAAGCGTCTAACAAGTAACATGTAATGTTCTTTTTTCCTTTTGAGTGCCATGGATGGTGGCTTATAATAATGTTTCTGAAGGTAATGTAGTTTGGAATAAAGGATTGTTAAAGGACGTGTAATTAAGTAGATTATTTGTTTATACATAATTTAGAATCAGTAATATTTTTGTATATCAATTTGACCCTGATTATTTTGTATCGTATAATAATTCTCATGTGAAATGTTTGTATTATTGTTTTACACATTCAAAATAAATCGAATCATATCAAATAAAAAAGCTTTGACGGACTTCCATAGTAATAAGGGCTCGGCATTTAAATCCTGTCTCACCAGAATATTTTGAATTCCTAAGGTACCGATTCAGCAATGAGCTTATATTTCATCAAATTTCCTTCAATCGGAATTTGATTTCCTTTGAACCACTTTCTCACATCTGTGCAATCCCAGATTTCCACCAGAAGCGTGTCCCTTCTTAACTACAATGTAAGATTTAGAAGTCTTTGCCGACATTTAGTTTTAGGGGACCAATGACTGAATTGAAAATGTCTTCAAGACTGGCATTTTCTTCTTTTAATCACATGACATTTTTTTCCCCCACTTCCTGAATGAGAGAATAGGCACTTCTCAGAAAGGGGCCGAGCAAATAAACCCCTCTTTGGGCCTGGAGCCACTAATCTGTAATTTAATTTCAGGTGGGTGTCTGGGCCATGAGGACACACAGCAAGGTCAAGGGCTACTGTACAGAGAGATCTGTGCGTTTGGGCACAGCCTGGGGTTTGATCAACAGTCTCATCCAGCTTAGGAAGAGGACTTAGTATGTGCGCGTGCTCCTGTGCATGTGTGTGTCGGGGAGGTCTTTCTAATACATGTCAGACTTGATGCAAGGTAGCTATTTCGCATATGACAGCAACAAACAATCACAGCGAAAATCCATTATTCAAAACAAGTCAAATGTTTGGGATGACTGAGCATCTGCAAACACAGAGGATTAGCCCTAAAATAGGACTGCGTCTATCCGGGAACAATTCAACATGTCATTGTTGATCTGCATGTAAATGAAATATTTGTATTGCTTTGACAATAATTCTTGTTTTACTCATTATGTAGAATAGTCTAGTCGGCAGATAAATCAACTAATGGAAAAGTGGAAGGATGAATTTGAGCAGCATGGCTAATCCTGTGGGTGAAGAAATGTCTGTAATAAACTCAACCTTGTTCTGCCCGAACGAGCACAAAGTGGCCACGGGAATGGGACCAATAATTACCAATGACCAGTTTCACCATGTCTCTTTTATGTTAATAGGCACTCGGTTATCTTACACAAATGGCTTTGGCATTCATACATGAACATATGGCACAGGGACATGCTCAAGTACCTTGAAAAAATTGAATAAAAGTACAGCTACTAGTGAGGAAACGATGAAACATTCCACAGCAGCAGTAAAAACGTGTTCATTAAAAACAATTTCTTACATATAAGGCTGTCAGGTCAGTGAGGAAATCAGGGTGTATCCCATGCACCATTTGGAGTTTG